GGACACTCCTTCTTTACCTTGGCCAAATTAGTGCCACCTTGCGCTTCCAAGAATTGATCAGCCAATTCAAGCATGTCTTCAAGTGAGTCAGCCTTCCTCTCTTTTAAGTACAGTGACAGGCTTGGGTGGCAACTAGTAAGAAATTGTTCTCTAATTAGCAGCTCTCTAAGCTCATCGTACTCCTGCGCTGTCCCTGAAAGTTCAATCCATCTGTCGAAATAATGGCAAAGTCGGGCGGCATACTGCGTAGCCGTCTCACCATCAGCTGGCTTTCCTGTCCGAAATCTGTCCCGGAATCCTTCCACAGTGAATCTAAATCGCTTCAACAAAGCCGCTTTCACCTTTGCGTAGTTGGCTGCATCGGTCGGCGTCAGCCTACCGTACACACTGAGCGCTTCACCACTCAAGCAGGTACTCAAAGCAGTTGCCCATTGCTGTTCCGGCCAATTCTGGCTCCTCGCAATCGTCTCAAATCTGTGGAGGTACGCGTCTAGGTCGTCCTTCCTTTCATCAAACGCTACGAGCAGCTTGCTTGGGTTCAAGCGGAAGCCGTGATCTTCCCGTTCGCTGCTTTCAACTCTAGCTTGGACGGGAGTTTCGCTTCGCTGTTGCAAACGGAGCCGCTCGAGTTCCATCTCGTGCTGACGCTGCCGTTCCCTTTCCTCTCTTTCTTCTTTCGTCCTCTCAGCTGCCAGTCTTTCTTTCTCCAGCTCCAACTTCAATTGTAGTTCTCTTTCTTCTTTCAGCTGTCGCTCCTTTGCCTCTCTTTCTTCCTTCAGCTGTCGCTCCCTCGCTTCTCTTTCTTCTCTCGCCCTTTCGGCTGCCAACTTCTCTCTCTCCAACTTCAATTGCTGCTCTCTTTCTTCCTTCAGCTGTCGCTCCTTTGCCTCTCTTTCTTCTTTCACCCTTTCAGCTGCCAACCTCTCTCGTTCCAACTCAGCTGCTTTTTCTTCCTTGGCCCTCTCTGCTGCCAACCTCTCTCTCTCCAACTCAGCTTCTTTTTCCGCTTTGGCTCTTTCGACCGCCAACCACTCTCTCTCCACCACCTCTTTCTTCTTCTGGCTTACCCATTTCCGTAGTTCGGCGCCGGAAAGACCCATCTTCTCACCAAGCGCAACTAACTTTTCGAGATCCATTGTGTCTCGCAACTCGCAAATAAAACCTTGCCGCGTGCAAAAATATCTGCCTAAATCAGTCTATCGGAACACTCCCCTGCACTCGTTAACGAGAACACTGAACAACACACAAAATCGTTCCGATAGCACTATCAACAACTCGAGGCTCTTTCTCACTCCTTTGGACACACTGTGCACCAAAAGGTCCTATGTCGCGGACGCCAGATTAATTGTCACACCTGTCCCGTTTATTAGGGAGGCGATCGCCGGGCTAATTCCAAGAGCCGAAGTATCGGCCCCCCGAACCGCACCACGAAAGCGTGGACAATTTAGAAGTGGTCCTTTTTGGCGCGCCAGCGGACGCCGGCTGTGGCCCAAAGAACAAGTCAGAGCCGAGAGTTGATAAACAAACAAATTATATTCTCAATAATGGCAGATCGAAAACAATACGCAAAAATGCACTCTCCAAAATAGTTGCATACAATATGTCACCAATCAAACCAATCAATCAGCGTACTACACAATACAATCAGCCACACTCAAAACAACGGACACAGACAACAATACGCACTACAATGCAGTCGCATGCATTGAACAACCAAGACACTTAAGGACTAAAGAGATAGAAAACCTATTCAGTCCAAAGTCCTTGGTTTGAATGATACTCTTCCGAGAATCACTCACTCAAAGTCCAGCATTGATGTCGTTCCGTAGCTCTCGAAGTTTCTCTTCCAGGAAACCTCGCGTCCTCAAATGGCCACTCTCCAAGCTTCAAACTTCTTCGCCGGAACACGTCGGCTTCACACACGCAGCTGTTGCCCGCGTCTTCGCTCGATAGCGGTAAACACACACTCTTGCCGGTAGCCCGAGTCGTCACCCCTCAGGTGTAAATCCTCTTCGTCTCCGGCCTCGTCCCTACGGACCAAAAACCTTCGCCGACTACACGGCGGAATCCCTACGCGCTCTGGCGTTAACTTCCGTCTCCTCCTGTTCTGTCACTACGGGCAGAACCTTCGCCGACTACACGGCGGAATTCCTACGCGCTCCGGCGCTAACTTTCCGTCTTCTCCTGCTTTCTCGTCTCGGCTGCTCGATTAAATACGTTCCCCGCCACCTTCCAGAAATTTCTCGTCATTTCGTCGGCGCGATACGCAGCGAAAGCTGGGGAGAGGCACGAGACGGTTCGACTGCCCTCTCCGGAGGATGATTCACTCGGTCTGATCCCGCCTCCTTCGTTCTAGAAAAGTCGCGGCCTTGCTGGGCCGCCGATGGGGGGTGAGGAGGTTCGTCTGTGAAGCCATGCTTCTGCGGGGAGAGCGCGCGCCCGGGAGCCTTGGATGTTTGCTTTCTTTTTTTTTCTTTTTACCTCGCGGCGTTTCTGCCGCCCGTTGTCGCAAGGATTTGGCGGCGCGCTCTTTTTTAGCCCTCGTTCTGTGACAGCGAGTAATATTAATATTAGGTGAAATTGCTGTTTGATATTTACTTTGACAAAACTCTTGTACTGACGAAAAACTCGAAACGACCATCGCGGGTTAATTTCAACGGAGAAAGCTGGCAGTGCCTCCGACTACAGCGGCACCGCTGCAAGCTCGCGAGTGGGAGAAACTTTGGAGTGGCCGGTTTTCAGACTGTTCAATTCTAGCCATCCTACCCCGGCCAACGTGAACTAGGTAGTTGCAGAGCTCCCCGCGTCAGACAACCTGTCACACGGCGCCTATAGACAACGCCTGGTTTGGTGGTGCAACAAGCTTCCGCTAGCAGACGAAAACGCGCAGCCGTGGTGGCACGACGCCGTGACGGCCATCCTGAAAGGGCTTTTGCCAACAGTATATTATCGGGATTTTTCGTTGTGCTGCCACAGAAACGTAATACTGCGTAATATATAGCAGTGTAATGCAAATACAGTATAATTATGGCTTTATGAACTGCCCACAATAAAGGATGCTTGATAGCATATCATACAAGTCTGTCAGTTACTAGTTGGTGTACGTTGGCAATATTATTTAGGCGTGAAAAACTCAATTACAATGTCTTGCATCCTCTCTTGTGGCTGTCTTTTTTGCGCCTTAAAATAAATTATATCTATGTGGCGCAATCCCGTGGTTATTGTCTGGTTCTCTCGTCCACTTTTTTTTTCTTTTTCATGTCACGGTCACATTGTTCCGCAACTTAGGCCGTCAAAAAACTGCGCGTGCGGCGCTTTTCTTAGGCATGTCTTCCCTCTGCTTCTTCTTGAGTTACTCTAATTAAACTTGTTAACATAGCTGAGGCCAAAGCTTCGAGCACATACCGCTCTTTAGCGTATCGGTGAGCACTTCGTAATCATTACTCACGAGGCTGCCTGCTGACGCATTGGAACAACACGAACCAACGCCTCCTAGATATCTTTTGCATGCCGAATGAGGGCGAAACGCCCGTCATCTATGGAGGCACTGCCTACGTAGGAGTAGAAGTCTTTGTACATGGCCTTTGAAATTAGCAGTTTTGGCGGTTGCTACGTATTTCAGAGGCTATGCCTTGTATTGGAAAAGTTGCTTCCTGAATGACGGTGTTACTTACGTAGGGTTAATTATAATTCCATTTACGCTTTTTTAAAATATTTTAACTTTATTTATGCTGCATGTAAGCTTCAAAAACGTAAAAACCTTTTTGAAGGTACCCCTATTTGAGAAGCGCCACCACCATAGTTCCAACGACCACCGTTTTTTAAGTGACCACTGATAATCAGACAGGCAAGGGAGATCTAGGAGGCGTTGCACGAACACACGTTGAGCTTTTCTATGTCCTCCAGACGTCCGGGCAATCGTGTAATGGTATCTGCATTGCCGGGCGACTTGGCTAAGCGATGGTTATGGCTGCTAATGGTGACTGTTATGTCTTCTGCGACGACTACGCATTTCTCCACAAATAGCGCTCTTTTTTCTTCTTTGAGCACTAAAAACGCCACAGGACATCTTGTGTTGCTATTCTCAACAACTTTCCGCCAGCATGCAAACAAACGTTTTCTAAGTCTTGAAGCGAAATTATGACGCCACTCGTTGATGGCATGCTGGAACTTATTTCACCGTCTTCGAGCAGTGCTTCATGTAACGCATGTTACATATTCATGTAACGCACCCTTCGACGAGGTCCCACTTTCCTCTGGCGATTCATACCTTCTTACAATTGATGTTGTGAGGGAGAGTCTTCGGGATGTCTTCCTCATGAAAGTGCGTATCATACACACGTGATGTGCTGGGCATTTTCCTATCCGCATGAGGAATAGCGTGGTCCCATGCCTCTCGCTGCTCAGGTACACGCGCGCGGGGCACAAAATAAATATCGTGGTGTCTCTCATTGCCTGTAGCCACTCGTACAGTCGAGAGCGCAACATGTGGGCATGATGAAAACACGCAACATATACAAAGCAGAACAGAGCACGCTGAAGCACAAAACTGTTCACGCAGAAAGAAGTCTCCACGACTAGCGACGCACTGCAACATGCACAGCCGATGGAGGTTACGAGAGTGACACGAGCGAGCATGCAATGAGGGTAGGGTGCCCATTCTAGCCACCCTAGTGAGGGAATCCGGATGCGACAGCAGCGCCACATTAGTGGCTGAAAGCGGCGGCACCGCACAACATTGCTCAGTTTTGCAACTTGCCTAGTTCTAGAAACGTTGAACCATGCAGTGAACAATGTTTTTAGATATTTGTGTGCCAACTCAAAAAACAACTCTGAAAACATAGTATTTTCTTGTTTGGTGTAGTAATTGTTACTTTTTGTAGGGCAATAGTTTGTACACGCTTTGTGTAGTTAAGGATATTGTGTTTGAAAACGGAACCGAAACTAGGTTTTCAGGCCTTTTTATAATTTTTTTTTTGTCTTCACACGTCGAGCATCATTTCGCCCCCGTTGAACCGTTGAACTTTTGAGTATCGCGGTTGTTGTTGCACGCTTGCGTTTGTGTGCTCGCGTGAGATCCCACATCAGTGCATGTTGCTGCGGAAGCCTTGTATCCAGGCAAGAAGCTCTACAAGACGAAGACGACGAGCATGCAGTCGACCACTTACCTACAACATTCGCGTGAGGTGAGTTTGCGTTCCATTCTTCAAAAGGGACACGGCGCTCTTCTCGGCCGTCACTCACTCTGTTCAATGTATCAGGTGCTGATCGGGCTCATGGCAGCGGCGGCGACGTATGCTACACCCGTGGCATACTAAAACTAATGTAATTGAAAAGCGCCTCACTACACTAGAGGAAACAGAAAAGAAGTTCGCTGACAAACTAGACGACTTAGAAAACAGAAGCCGGAGAACAAACTTGGTATTCTTTGGAATACCAGATAGTCATCCAAAGGAAACTTGGGAAGAATCCGAAAATCTAGTTAAGTCTGTCTGTACGGATGTATTAAAGCTGGAAAATATAGCAATAGAAAGGGCTCATCGTCTCGGGGCCTACAAAACAGAAAGAATTCGTCCAATAATTGCTAGCTTTTCAGGATCGAAATCAAGAGAATCTGTTCTGCGAAATGCATACAGATTCAAGGGGACGTCATACAGCGTATCAGAAGACTTCAGCAAGGCAGTTCAAGAAAAACGCCGGCAGCTTTGGAAGTACAGTAAAGAAAAACAGCTCGACAAGAAAAATCGTGTACATTTAAGTTACGATAAGCTGGTAATCAATGGACAAGCATTTGCCTGGGATACTGACATGCACCAACCAGTTCCTCTTCGGGCGCATGCTCAGATATTGGGGCGGAAATGACATGATCATTCTAGCTTAAGAACAAATGGGAAATATACCATCACAAAAAGCTTTACACCAGTATTGTTGGTGGTCAATTGTCGAAGCCTAAAAAACAAAACTGATGAGTTTACAATCTTACTTGAAACGGTGAAAGCGCAAATCGTTATGGGTACCGAATCATGGCTTGACGACACAGTATTGGATGTAGAAATATTTCCGCCAGGTTTTACAGTGTACCGTAAAGATAGAAACAGGCACGGTGGTGGCGTGTTTCTTTTAATTTCAAGTAGCCTTGCCAGCGAAGAAGTTGTTTTTGATAATGAAACTGAATCAGTATGGTGCCGCGTCCAATTTCCCCAGGGAAACAACATCGTTTTTGGATCATTTTACCGCCCACCTGACCACAACAATGAATCTTTGATTCAACTTTCCGACATACTATCACAAATATCTCACTGCGTAATACTGGGAGGGGATTTCAATCTGCCCGATATGAAATGGGATTCCGACTGTGTAGCCCCACAAAAAAATCGAAATTGTTCTGCCTTTTCAGAACTAATGAGTGTCTATGGGCTACAACAATATGTGAACGAACCAACTCGGATTAACGCTTTACTAGATCTTTTACTAAGCAATGACGAAAATGTTATTGTTCACACAAACGTATGTCCAGGAATTAGTGATCATAGTTGCGTTGTTGCAGAGTTAAACGTTTCTAGAATACCTGCGTGTAAGCAAACCCCTCGAAATGTTTTCATGTACGACAGAGGGGACTTTAATGCCATTTCCGAAGAGCTGGTCTTGTATTATCCCACTTTTTTATGCATATCGGAGTCATGCGGCATGGATGAATTGTGGCAAATTTTCCGTGACAAGGTTACAGAGCTGGTGAATATGTACGTACCTCAGAGGTGTCTAAGATGCAGAAAGAGGCACAAACCCTGGTTCAACTCTGAGATACGCAAACTTGTTAGAAAAGCAGCGAATGCCCATAAAAGGTTTCTTAAAAAGAGAACAGCACTAAATAAAACAAAGCTCAAAAGTGTAAACAAAGAGCTTAAGTTAAAACTAAAACAGGCAAAGCGTGTCTTCTTTGACAAGCTAAACACAGACTTGAAGTGTAATCCAAAATTCTTTTGGAAGTATGTCAAGAGCAACAGAAAAGACGACACAGCTATCCCTGACCTTTTAACCCAGGAAAAAACTATAACGGATGACTTGGAGAAAGCTGAAGCATTTAACGCCTATTTTCAGTCAGTGTTTTCAAAAAGAACTGAACACTCTCCAATACTACCTTCAAAAAATATTGGTAATGAAATGGCGGAAATTGAAATCGATTACGCTGGTTTGGATAGTCTGCTGCGTACTCTGGACACCTCTAAGGCTACAGGGCCTGACGGTATATCATCTCATGTACTTAAAAAGTGTCACGTTATTATTGCACAATATTTATGCATAATGTACAAGTTGTCTCTAGACACCGGCGTTATTCCAAGGGATTGGAAAACAGCCAATGTGGTTCCTGTACATAAGGCAGGAAGCAAAAAACATGTACAAAATTATCGTCCCATATCCTTAATTTCAACCTGTTGCAAATTATTAGAACATGTTATTTATAGCGCATTGTTCAAATATCTCGAGTCTACTCATTTTTTTGCCCGCTCCCAGCATGGATTTCGGCAGGGTCGTTCATGCGTCACGCAACTAACTGAATTTCAGCATGACGTACTGACTGCGCTTGACCGTAACAACATTGTTGATGCATTATTTCTCGATTTTCGCAAGGCATTTGATACGGTCCCACATAATCTGTTAGACATTAAACTGGCTTCACTGAATATTAATGCTAAGCTGCAAACCTGGCTACGGAATTACTTAAGTGGTCGTAAACAGTGTGTTGTTTTAAATTCTAAAACGTCTTCATATGTAAACGTGACTTCAGGCGTGCCACAAGGTAGCGTTCTAGGTCCGCTGTTATTTTTGGTTTATATAAATGATATAGCATATAACATAAAATCTTGCATAAAATTATTCGCAGACGATTGCATCATCTACCGTCACATTACTTCAATCACAGACACTGAACTATTGCAAGATGACTTAAACACGGTAACACATTGGTGCTCCACGTGGAATATGTGCTTAAATATCTCGAAGTGCAACCACATCAGCTTTGCAAAGAACATTTCAAAAATCCAGTGCACATACAGTATTAATGGCGAGGCAGTCAAAAAGGTGCCCGAGTGTAAATATTTAGGAATTTACTTGACAGAATCGTTCCATTGGAACAGACACATAGACCAAATGATCTCAAAGGCTAGTAGAACGTTGTTTTTTATTCGTAGAAACTTTCACTGTGCAACAAAAGAAGTGAAAGAAACTCTTTACTTCCTTCTTGTCAGGTCTATACTTGAATATGCTTGTGTTATCTGGGACCCGGCTCAAAAGTATCTTGCAAAAACAATAGAAAAAGTCCAAAACCAGGCAGCCCGTTTCGTCAGCAACAACTACGACCCATTCGCTAGTATGTCAGAAATAAAGGCCATATTAGGCTGGGAAACTCTAAAATCTAGAAGACGGAAACTTCGATTAAAACTTCTGCATAGCATATATTATAACCTAACAGGAATTAATAAGTCTGAATACCTACTAGCACCAACATATCGTTCCACAAGATGCCAACACTCACATAAAATACAAGAATACGCGTACAAAACCACTACTTTTGCCAACTCCTTCTTTTTAAAAACAATTAGAGACTGGAATGAACTTCCCGAAGGTATAGTGAACTTGAGTGACAACAGCGCTTTTTTCTCATCGTTGTGAAATTGTGACATATGTACTTCTCTTTTGGTACCTGTTGTCATGTGCAATATTGTACTAAAATATTTTTTTTATTTTTTTTATTTTTATATGTTGTTATAATTGAATTTTTTCACTATGTTTGGCGTCTTATCGCAGAAATGTTTCCTATGACTTCTTATGTATACCCCCCTGCAGTAATGCCACTACGGCGTTGCAGGAACTATGTAAATAAAATAAATAAATAAATAAATAAAAAGCACAGTGACGAAGCCAGCGTTGCCTAACTCATCGCTGTGCCACTTATCATTCATGAGTGCCACGTGAGCTTCACTCTGTGTTCCCATTGAAACCATTCGCCGAACGCGTGTTTCGTTGTCGCAGTTTAGTTTATGACTAGCGTAAGCGCTGCGTTTGCTGTCGTTTGGGTTTTTCGAGTCCTGTCATGGGAGTTGACGCTACTTTTCGCGCCGGTGCTGCCCGCAGCTAGATAGCTGTGAGTTTCATTCGCACCGAACTGTGGACAACTTCTCTCGGGTCACTTTTAGGGTAACTATTTGCGAGGAGCACCTCAAAGGACGCTGTACTGCGCTAACCTAGTTCTTGCGAACGCTATTCGGAGCACTGGCAAGAGTAAAGCCGCATGGGTGACTTAACCGGTATATAAATGCGCGTAGCGTGTGTTAAAATATATTCACGTCAAAATTGAAAACTCCGATGATACTTATTTGCACCATCTACAAAATTCTAAGTTGTGGCAGCGTTGTGTGATCGAATGTGTGTATCACAAGGTGCCATCTTCGAATTCGGAGGTTGCAGGTTTGGTCCCTGCCGGTGGCAAGCTATATGTTTGCGCCCACTTTACTTTCTTCGCATTTATATTATCATTGTTACAAATACCATCCCGTGTACTTTCCTTGGCATTATTGTATGTTCTCATAATGATCAAGTTCAGAAATATAGCATCTAAACCATGCTAGAGGAAAGTAACGCATGGTTCGATTACAAGTGTTTCCACAAATTTGTTCGATTTAATTGCTACCAACAACTTCAACAGATATTTTCGGGAAAATTGTAGTAATATTTTTTATTATTTTTTCGTAAAAGTTATTTCAGGTCTTGTGACTATGCTATTACCAGACTTATTAACTATTCCTTGCACATTAGTGGACTGTGGGACTTCTCAGAGAAAGCATGGTGTCTCTGCTGTGTTTCTTCATTGCAGCAACAGTTCATGTTTAGGAACTTGTAGAAGTGCTTTATGTCAAAAAATCATTATACGATTATTAAAGTTTTAGGGAAGAGCTCTCGAAATTGCTACCATACTGGGTTCTTTTCCTCAGTCCAAGTATGTGAGCCTTAACCACTCTTCCTTTGAGATTGTGGCTGCCACAGCTGGGATTCCACCCCACAGCCTTTAAATCAGCTGTCAAGCACCCTGCACCACTATGGTGGGTAGCTTGTGGGATTCAAAAATACAAACTTGTTAAACAGCAAGTTCTGTGGAGTACAAATTATATTCAGCCACGAAGGTTACACC